CCTGGCTCCTGAGTGGGCCCGTCCTGGACGACTTCATTCTGTACAGGTGCGCTGGCGTCTACACTGCAGAGCCTGCCCCGGAATCGGGCTGGGGAGGGTCCGTGTAGCCCGGATCCCGGACGCAGTCACAGCAGTGTGAGCAAGCAGGTCCCGGGGCGGGCCCTCCTGCTGCCGCCCCAGAGGAGGGGAGAGCCAGGTGTAAACCACCGGCTTTGGGCAGTGGGCGGGGCCCCAGGCTGAGCGGGCAGCAAAGGGCAGAGGGGAGCCACGCGCGGCCGCCCCGAGAAGGGGTGACAGCCCACAAAGCCTGCAGCCCCACTTGACCCGAGGTGGGAGCCGCTCACGGGCTGGGGCGGGAGAGGGGTGTGGCCAGGTGCCCCACTGTGGGGTGAAGGGTGACTAGAAGTAGGGGAGCCGGCTGGAGGTGGTGTGCAGAGCGGTGGGCCAGTCAGCCCACATCCTGGGGATGGGCACCCAGACAGCCCCGGCCACGCAGGTGCACTAACACCGCACGATGCAGTGGGGGCACTTGTGCAGGGTACCCCCTATTTCAGGGAAATTACTGAAGGATCAGAGCAGTTCCAAAACTTGTCTGGTTGGTGAGGGGCTGGGGTTCAGGCTGCTGAGCGGCTGCTGCTCCTCTCCAGGTGGTCCAGCCTGTGCCTGTGAAGCTCGCAGGTGAGGTCGGGAGACATGATGTGCGGGACCCCACCCTGGGACACCCCCAGCCCCGCCATGGCCACAGACACACCCTGGCCCCTCCCTCACCAAGCAGGCTCCATCTTCCAGACGAGCAGGGCAATGTTCCTCCAGATCCTCCCAGGACACTGTTGGCCCCTGCCTGTCCTCCAGGCCGCGCGGCCCTTCCCAGACACCGACCTTCAATGCCTCACCCATGGGCTCTCCCAGAGAGCAGCAGACGCGCCTCCTGCCCCGGCGCGCCTGCCTGACGGGGTCGTCCAGCAAAACACCCCGGCCTGCACACACACACACATGCACGCACATGCACACGCACACACTTCTACCTTTTTCTCCAAGTAACATTAAAGCACTGTGGGAAACGCCATTCCAGGCCAAAGGTCCGCGGGGAGTGTGTGCTAGGGTGGAGGTCCCTTCACCTGCCCTTGGCCTGCCCCTCCAGCACCTGGACGCCAGGGCTCAGGTCCATGCGGTGTTGCCAGGAGTGCAGAAGAGCCGGCCCTGCTGGCCAGGCAGCTGCCTGTCACAGCCCAGCCCGCACAGACCTCCAGAGTCGCGGCCCCAGTGGCGTGGGTTCCAGCTGCTCAGCAGATGCCAGGCCCGGGACCACAGCCCCATCTCTGAGAGCTTGGCTTGCAGTTCTATGACCCTGGCTGGCAGCCATTCCTGAGCCCCTGTTAGAGCCTCCGTCAGGCCATTGCTAAGTTCCTGCTCCCCCTACCCCGCCCCCATCCCAGCCCCTCCTCAGCAGGGCTGTGATCTCATGCCTGTGCCATGCTGGGGGATGGGGCAAGGGAGGGGGTGCAGAATGACCTGGGCAGGTACTCAGGTTAGGCAGCAAGTTCTGAGGCTAGGGCACTTGCTGGGCCCCTCCCGCCCAGGCCCCCGTGTGTGGCCCATGTGAGGTACATTCAAACCACCCGGAATAGCTTGGGGCACCGCCTGAGGTCTGGCTGCTGGGCTGTGCATGCACCCCCAAAAGTCAGCTCCTCTTCTAACAGTCTGCATCCCCTCCAAGTGTTGGTTTTTCTCCCTGCCTTGGGGGCTCTTGGCCCAGAGCTGACCTTGGCTAAGGAGCAAAGCCTTGAGTGGGAGCCCAGAGACCCCGGACGGTGGGCCACTGGTCTGCAGCTGATAAACGAGGGCTCTTTCCTTCCAGAAGCGCCTCTGTTCTGAGCTGCTCTGCCACGTCCCAGAGCCCGCAGCGAAGATGATGGGGGCCCCCTGCTGGTCTGTGTGGGTATTAACCCGAGGGGCTGTGAGGCCTGTGGAGCCAGGACAGGGGGCCGCACTTGCCCCAGATGAGAGCAGGGTACCCAAACCACCCCAGTTTCTTCCCATGGTGCCTGGTCCATGTCCGTCACTGAATCCTGGGCTCAGGGGGATGTGGCTACTAGCCACTTAGGTGGCCCTTGACTTTTCTGTCCCTGAGCTCCCCTGGGCACCACCTCTGTCTGCTCTGTGCTCCTCGCCACTGTCCCCAGGCCTTCAAGTCCCACTTCTGCTTTCCGCTTGCACCTTCTCGAGTCTCACGTTGTGCTGACCCCTCCCTCATCCCCCTGCTGGGATAAGAAGGACCTTAAGGACAGGCCGTGGGGAAGTGGACCCTAGAACGCTAGTCAGCCGCTCAGGCCCCAGGATCCAGCTTATTGCTGCACCGCCTCCCTGTTTGGTGGCCTGGGCGTTTTTCTGGACTGAATGCTTGGTAGCCCCAGCTGCCTTGTAGGTCTGCTGCCTTAACTCCCACCCCTGTCTTGAGCCAGAGACCCTGGAGGGCATTGCAGCCTCTCAGAGGCACCCAGGGGCCTGCCCCAGGTCGACCTCCACCGCCAGAGCGCCACAGACTTCATTCTCAAGGTTGACAGGGGCACACGTGTCTTCCTCCCACCAGCCCCAGGAGACTCGGGGACTGTACCGGGTCCAGGGAACATGCGCGGTGGGGTCACTGGGGGGGCAGAATGACCGGGTTCTGTGTCATTGCTTGGGGCCCTGGGCCTCAGTGCTTCGCTCCCCATCCCTTCCCTCCCCCATCTTATCCCTGCCTGAGGCCTGGAGAATGCCCTTCAGAAACGGGGCGAGGACCTGGAGCACAGCTCTGCATGGAGGCTCCCCAAGCGTCGTTCCATTGCCCCCTCGGGATGGTCTGGCGCTGCCCCTACCCAGCCCTGCTCCTTCCAGCACCCGGAGCCCTCAGCCCACTGCAGCCACTACAGGGCCATGCTGCCCCCTGCTGGCCTCACAGCAAACCACAGTCCAGGGTGCACCCCCTGGTTACAGGGGTTCCCTCTTCACCCAAGCCTGGGCTGGGCTAGACCCTGTGGGCTCCAGGGAACAGACGGTGAGGCTCTGTCTGAAGGGATGCTAGGGCTGTGGAACGCACCCCCAGCACCCCCAGCACCCAGGAATGTCTGTTGGGTGAGTGAACGGGCAGGATTCGCAGGGCTGGACGCACGTGTCCCGAGCGTGCGGGGCTCATGGAGGGGAGTCAGCCCGCAAGCAGCTGGCAGAGCAGATCTGATGGATCCTCTTGGGCTGACAAGACCTGACTATGAAGAGCAAGTGGGGAGAGTCGAACAGCCTTAGGCTGCGGCACAGGGGCCCCGAGCAGCCCGGCCTTGTCGGCAAGAGGCCAGTTGGTGGGAAGGTGTGGGAGGGGGAGGGAGGGCATAAGTGGCAGGACTGGAAGTCACAGGGCACTGTGGGGAGACCCCGTGCCATCGGCATGCAAGGCGGGGAGGGAGCAAAGCACCTCCCGTGCCTTGAGGCCTGTTGAGGCGCCAGGCGCAGGGTGATCCCCTGAAACAGAGCTGGCCCCCATTTGTTCTGCAGCCCCGCTGTGAGGCAGGTGTTCGGTTGCCCATTCTGCATTTGACAAGGGGGGGGCAGGAGGTCCTGCAAGAGCACGTGGGCGGGGCTCTGACCTCCCGTCTCTGCAAGCGGCGGGTTGGGTTCTGGTGCTTGAACTCGGGGTGTTGGGGAAGGGGTGACTTGTGCAAGGACAGACTGGGTGGGGGCCAGGATGGCCACTTAAAAGCTGGATAGTGCAACCCGGTGGGGAGTGAGGGAGCCCCCCACACACACACTCATGGATTCCTGCCTGGAGAAGGCCCAGGAGGCCTGAAACAAGCTGTGCTGGGCCTCCTCTCAGGCTGGCCCTGGGCGCCCCCGGGGCATTTCCGCAGCCTTTCTTGCTTGCAGAGAGGGCTTCTGAGGGACACAGTTCCCCTCTGAGCAGCCCGGCTGCTCCCAGCAGGCTCCCCAATAGGGCACAATGTTGGGAAGGGGGCTCTGCCCCCCTCGCTCTCCCCACCTCACTGGCGGCTTTTCTTTCTAAGTCTGGCAAGAGGAGGAGGCTAACCCTGCAGGCCCGCCAGAGGGGCCGCCCCACCTCTCTCTCCTGCCTCCTGGGAAGAACCCAGGCCTTGACATACAGCCTGGGGGGTTCAGGTTAAAGGCAGGGGAGAGTCTCGCCTAAGCTGGGCAGGGCCCTCAGAGTCTCCCTGAGGGAGCAGGCTTTCTGCATGCAGGGCAAGAAGACTCTGGGATGCACCCGAGCCCCTGACCCCCAGGCTTCAGTTCTTGTGCAGTGGGGACCCACTTGTCCTCCGCAGAGGCCTGGGGAGCAGCCAGGGACTTCCTGCCCCAGGGCGAGGTTGGGATGCCGCCCTCAGGGCTTCCCACTTTGCCTGGTCCCCCAATAGGGCACACTTCCCCCATCCCCCTCTCAGCCCCTCAGGCCCTTGGGGTGTTTTTGTCGTTGCATCTGGAGGTATTTCTTGTTGCTTGTAATTGCTCTCCCCGCAGCAAAGCCAGGGGTCATTCCTCAGAGGCCGGTTCCCTGGGTACGAAGGCCCGACAGCAGCTTCTGTGATTTCCCTCTGCTCCGCTGGGGCTCCTGCGCATGCTCTGAAGCCCCCGGGTACCAGGAGAGGAAGGCCACCCCTCAGGGGCCAGGGAGCACGGGTCCTCATGGCCAGCCCGCTGGGCAGTGTCCTCATGGCTGGAGGTGCCCCGGTTGTTCCGGGAGGCACCATTCCCCAGAGATCTTTGTTGCTCCCCTGTCTGGGTTCATGGGCGGCCATGCCCTGGGGCTCCAGTGGGGGGCCAGCCCGAGCCCCCACCAGTGAGGAGACTGCACCTGAGCAGAGCGCAGACTGCAGTGCCGGGAGGGGGTGAGCGGGAGGGAGGAGGGAGAAGGCAACTCAGGACCCACCCAGACTGGCTGGGGGAGGGTGACCCCAGCTGCTCAGCTGGGCGGGAAGGGGCAGGGTGACCTGACCCAGCGGCCCTGCTCCCCGCAGGCTCGTGGAGGAGTTTATGCTCCTGGCAAACATGGCCGTGGCCCACAAGATCCACCGCGCCTTCCCCGAGCGTGCCCTGCTGCGCCGGCACCCCCCGCCCCAGACCAAGATGCTCCATGACCTGATGGAATTCTGCAGCCAGATGGGGCTGCCCGTGGACTTCAGCTCCGCCGGGGCCCTCAATGTGAGTGTGGGCTCAAGAAGAGAAAGAAGACCTGAAAGTGGGGTACAGAGGCCTCCGTGCCCCTCCCTGGACCCATTTCCCTGCAGCTGGGTCTCCTGGGGGGCCACGGAGCCAGGGCAGGGATCCCTTGGAAGGGGAAGTGGGCCGGCTGGACCCAGAGGCTGTCAGCAGGGGCTGGGGTCACCAGAAACCTGAGAATGTGTTTTGTGGTGTCAGGGTCAAGTGCTCCCTGCTGGGTGCTTGACCTCCTGGGTCCAGGATCCCATGACCTTTCCTCTGGTCCCATAGGAGGGATCCCACTGGGTCCCAGCCTTGGGGGGGTGGGCAGGAGGGCAGGAGGAAAGGTGCCCTAGGCCAGACCGGAAGCCAGCCTGTCCGGGCCAGCAAGCTTGACTTGCAAGGACTGAGGCCAGGGCCACGGCCCACAAGGGAGGCCCAGTGCAGGACCCAGGCCAGGGCTGTGACCTCTGTATCTGCAGAGCACATGGTTGGCATCTGTGCATCCCATGGGTTTGCTTCTAGAAAAGTCTGACCGAAACATTTGGAGATGACAAGTACTCCCTGGCCCGGAAGGAGGTGCTCACCAACATGTGCTCCCGGCCTATGCAGGTAAGGAGGGCCTCGTGCCCCATGCTCCCCTGCTCCCCAGCCCCTGTGACTTCAGTAGAAGTGGAGGAACTGAGGGCTGGCAGGAGCCCAAGACCACCCCTAGGCCAGGTTGCCCCTGTGTGGCCTCTGGGGTTCTTTGCCTGGCAGAAGACAGTTGCACCACAGGGCACGAAGCAAGCCTTCAGTGGCCGGTCCGCCTAGACCAGACCCTCCCGGGGAAGGCTGGGGGGCCAGTCAGCAGCCTGAGGTCAGTTGGCGACCCTTGAGGGGGAGCACTGCTCAGCCCCCACCATGGCCTGTGGACCACAGGCTCCCTCTCGCCAGCTGCCAGCCAGGAAAAGAGCCCGTGGGTCCCAAGAACCGCCCGGGCCAGGCAAGACAGAACCAGAGGGCCCCTTTCCTTACACTCCCCCATCCCCCTCCAAGGGCAGGCTAGCCCTGGAGCGCCACAGAAAGGAACCCCCTCCAGAGTCACCCAGGCTTCTCATGTCTCGGGACCTGCTAGCAGGGAGTGACCCGAGAGTCTGCTGGAGAATGGGGCCCGGCCGGGCGCAGGCGGCAGCAGTGAGCATAGACATCTCAGCGAGATGCTGATGCAGAACGCAGGTCAAGGGGCACTGCCATCCCCACCCCCACCCCCAGGCCTGCCCAGGACACCTTCCCAGCCAGGAAGGGAGCCAGGCCCTCTGCCTCCTCACCCCGGCTCATCTGGGGAGCTCGGCCACCACCGAGAACAAAGCCCAAACATGGCTGAGAGTGGGGCTGCTCCCGCCTCCCCCGTCAATTTGCCCCGGACATAACCCAGGGCCCAGCGGGTGCTGGAAGAGACTCAGAGTTGGGGAGCCCAGCAGGTCACCCCCAGCTGTGCCCTGGATTTCAGAGTAACCAGAGCCGGTTGTCTGTTTGGCCTGAGTGTGCGGCACAGGAGGGTGTGACCTGAGCAGGGAGCCAGGGGGGCTGTGTGAGGCATGGCTTTGGCCTCCAGGAGGAGCCTGCACTCCCTCCATGCGCAGCTGGCAGCTGGCCCTGCACTCCCAGCCCTGGACGTGGGGCCACAGGCAGGCAGCCTCGGGGACTGTGGCCCGAAGTCCCAGGGCAGGAGCCTGCTGGGGCCTGGGGTCTCTCATCCTGCACCCCAGTCATAGCGTCTGCCCAGCAGACAGGCCTTTTGAACTCGCTTGGAGTCTTGACCCTAGGTAGGTTACAAGGGGCAAGAAGGGCAGAGGCCTGGCCCCACAGCTGGCCCAGGGCGGAGCACGAGGCATGCGGACACGCTGGGGGGCAAGCGTGGCCTGCTCAGGGCCAGAAGAGTGAGGTCAGCCACACCACAGGTGGGGCGGGCCCTCTCCTGTCCCGCTGGGGCACATGGTGGTGGTGCACTGTCCCCTCAGGGGCCTGCAGCTGCCTCAGCCCCTGCTGGCCTCCCTCAGACCGCGCGTCCTCTCATCTCCCATCCCAAGTAGCTGCCCCAGCCCCAGCCCGGTGGGGTGGCAGGGGCGGGCAGGAAACCATTTCCCCCTCATGGTTCCTGCCAGTAACAGCCCCTCGGCAGTGACAGCAGTGGGGGACTCTGGCTTCAGCACCCAGTCCTCTCCCTTCCCTGAGGGCTTGGGTGGCCGGCCCCTCAGGACTCGGAGGGAGGGCCTATCCTGCATCTGAGGGTCCCCTGCCCCTCCTGACCTTGGTGGAGGCAGTCTGGCCCTTGAGGGCTATCTGGCCTGTTGTCAGCGCGGCCACCACGAGGGTGGCCAGGCAACCCAGGGTACAGCCGGCATTTGCCTTCAGCAGGAGAGGGCCACCTCAGGGGTCTCCTGACACAGAATGACCCCCGACTCCTGAGGCCCCGCTTTGCTCAGCTGCCCACGGCCTGGGTCACACAGCCTGGCCAGGTTCTGAGAGCCGGTTGCCCAACAGATGGCCCTGTACTTCTGCTCGGGGATGCTGCGCGACCAGGCCCAGTTCCAGCACTACGCCCTCAACGTGCCGCTCTACACGCACTTCACCTCGCCCATCCGCCGCTTCGCCGACGTCATGGTGCACCGCCTCCTGGCCACCGCGCTTGGTAAGGGGCGGCTGGCGGCGCAGGCCTGAGCCTGCTAAGGGCTGCCTGCCCCCAGAGTGGGTGCCCGAGGCCCTGGGGGGTGAACAGCAGGAGCAGCCGGGGAGCCTCAGCCCAGAGACCGCCCCCCGCCGCGAGCAGATGCTGGGGCTGCCGTCCAGCCCAACAGGAGCCCGACAGAGGCTGGAGGGCCTCGCGGTGACCTCCCCTGCACGCCTGGGCCTTGGGGGGCCTCGCTCTGTGTGGATGAGAGCATCATGCTGCCTATCGCCCAGCTCTGATGGGCACCCACACAGCCCCTTCCAGCGGCTCCCACCCACCCTCTTCCCAGGCTACAGGGAGCTGCCGGACATGGAGCCCCACGCCCTGCAGAAGCAGGCCGACCACTGCAACGACCGCCGCATGGCCTCCAAGCGCGTGCAGGAGCTCAGCACCGGCCTCTTCTTTGCTGTCCTGGTCAAGGTGAGGCCGCCTGCCTAGCGTCTCCCCCACACACCCGTCCTTCCCAGGCCCCTGCTCACAGGAGCCCCGGGGCTGAGCCTCTGGGGTGGGCCTGGGAGGAGGCTGCAGGCCATGACCAAGCCTGGCCTGGACTTGCCTCCCTGCAGGAGAGTGGGCCCCTGGAGTCGGAAGCCATGGTGCTGGGCGTCCTAAACCAGGCCTTCGACGTGCTGGTGCTGCGCTACGGGGTGCAGAAGCGGGTCTACTGCAATGTGAGTGCCGGGCCCGAGCGTCCCCACAGGCAGGCAGCTCCAGGGTCCCTGCTCCTCTACCTCCTGCCCCCGGCAGAGCCCTGTTCTGGGGTCCTGGCCCAGGGACAGCCCTGGAGACGCTCGGGAGTGAAGCCCACGACACTGCCCCTCGCTCAGCTGTGGCTGCTGGGCCTGTGGTGGCTGCGGGTGTGGAGTCCCCCACCTTGCTCCCCACGCCCCAGTGCCACGCCCACCTGATAGCACAGCCTGAGGAGCGGCCCCCCTCCCCGACCCCCGCCACCAGTGCAGGATGGCGGGGTTTGAAGGCTTTGAGAGGATTTCTTTCAGGAATGAGGGGAGGAAAAGAGGGGAGAGAACCATGGACGGCCCTCTGGGAGCTCTGGCCCCTGAAGAAGGGAGCAGGCCAGCCCTTGCCTTGGTTGCCCTCCTGGGCGCTGTCCATTCAGGTCTCTTTCCAAGGGCACTGGTATTGCTGCCTGAGGGACCTGGCTCCCTCGACCTTGTGCACCGCAGGTCACATCTGACCCCTGACCCTGGCTCTGGAGTTCCCAGCATCCACAGCGTGTTGGGGAGTGTAGCACTGGCATGGAGCAGAGCAGGAGAGAGGAGGCCAACTGCCTCGGCAGGGCCCTAGTCCTCAAGTTCACTGAGCAGGACACCATTCAGGTCCAGGGCACCTCTAACTGCAGCCCGGCCCTCGCCAACAGTATATGCCCAGCGCCAGCAGGGGGCAGCAGCCTGCAAGCTCAGTGCCAATTCCCCCCACATCCCCTGGGCCTTGGCGAAGCTAGCCAGAAGCCAAAGACCAGGGTGGGCCTGGCCCCCAGTCAGGGGCCAGCAGCCAGCAGCTGGGTGGGCGGAGAGGGAGTGTCCTTGAGGCCACTCAGAGGTGGGACCAGGCGGAGGGCTGCCTCTAGGCAGGGGACTGTGCTAGGGGCAGGGCATGGGCCTGAGCGCAGCTGTGTGCCCCCCAGGCCCTGCCCCTGCGGTCCCACCACTTCCGGCGGGTGGGCAAGAGGCCGGAGCTCACGCTGATCTGGGAGCCTGAAGAGCTGGAGCAGGAGCCGGTGCAGCAGGTCAGACCCAGGGGTTGGGGCAGCATGTCCAGATCACCCTGTGCCCCTCCTATCCCAGCTTCTGAGGAGCCCCCCTCCTGCCCCAGGGCGCGTTCCCCATGCCATCCCTCCTGGCACCCCCAGCCCTCACACTTCCAGGATCTGCGAGCCAGTCTGGAGGCCCCTCACCCACCCACCGGCCCCTCACCCACCCACCGCCTCTGGGCCTTAGCTTGCTGGCACCACCGTCCCTCCCTCAAGGACAGGCCCTGTGGGGGGCGTTGTCCCCCTAAAGCAGGATTCTTAACTCTGGGGTCCTTTGGAGAGTCTGATGAAAGTGATGGACCTCCTATCACAGCAATTCTTCGTCCCAGTTTTCACCTACGACGTGCTCCAAAGGCCAGCCCTGGGGCCCGTGTTGCCTGGAAAGTGAGGCTCGTGGCGTCCCAGGCGCCACCCCACGCGCTGGCTTCTCGCCTCCCACCTGAGCTCTGTGCTTGGGCAGTTCGGCTCATAGGCGACCAGACAGAAGCCTTGAGAGGCAGAGCCAGTGGGCCGCCGTGTCAGCGCCGGGTCTGCTCTGCCGCAGGTCATCGCCATCTTCAGCCTGGTGGAGGTGGTGCTGCAGGCCGAGGCCACAGCCCTCAAGTACAGCGCCATCCTGAAGCGGCCGGGCGCCGAGGGCCTCCCTGGCCTGCGGGACGCGGCGTGACGACGAGGGCACGAGGCCACCAGCCGGCCGCCCCCACCGCTCACCTGCCCTGGCTTTTAGGAATAGGACCTGTTGACACCAAAGGGGATTTTTAATTTGGATTTTAACAACTCAGGGTTTCATTTTATTTTTCTCATTCTATTTTATTTTTGCAGCAGTTTTTAAATGAACTGGAGGGGAGCGGGTGGGGCTGGAGGGAAGGCCAAGGCCTGGCCAGTGCTGACCAGCCAGAGGGGTCTGCGCCCCGCCTCTGCCCGGGAAACGTGGGGCTCATGGAATCAGTGTCATGGAGTAAAATCAAGTGTGAAGTACCGCTGGTGTGTGGGCTCCGCGGGGAGGCCGGGTGGCAGGCGCTCCTTGGACCCGGGGCAAGAGGCCCGGCTCCGGCTCCACCCCCGCGGCCCAGCCGGGTCACACCCTCTGGGATCTTCCAGGATCCTTCCCCTTGCTGGCCGTGCAGACGGATGCCAGCGCCTCGTTCCGGCTGATTAGAAGCGTAATTAGTGTGCAAGACGGCGGCCCGCCACCCTGCCTGCGACTGTCCCTGCCCCCACACTTCCTCTCTGCTCCCTGGCCCCACCCCTCCCCCGCCTCCTGGGCTCTGAGCAGCCTCATCTGCACCCCCTTGTATGCGCGCACCCCGCGCGCTCCAGCAGTCCCTGTGCTGGCAGGCCCGAGGGAGCAAGAGCCTGCGAGGGGAAACGGGTGCTTGGAGGGCCGGGCCAGGCCTGGTCACCGCCCGGCGTCCTGAGCATCCTCCGACCCTCCATCCTTGGGGACCGTGGACAGCCAAGCCCGCTCCGCCTCCACCTGGTCCTTCCCCACCAGGCGGGAGCCACGACTGGCCGCCCGAGGCCCGGGTTCCCCGTGCTGCTTCCTAGGCCCCAGCGGAGCTCCCAGGGGACAGTGACGCTTGCTTGGAGGAAAACCTGCCGGGGGCCTCGCAGGATGGCCTCTCGGCGGCCGCAGTAGTCAGCGCAGCTGATTTGTCTGCCTGGCACTGGGTTGGGTGCCAGGGGAGCAGAAGGCACATCAGCACCCCCGTCCCCCGCCACCCCCTCGCCCAACGTCATCTGTCTTGCCACCTCCAAGGTGTCCCAGTGACCACTGTCCACTCTGTCCCTGCCCCCAGGACCTCTCTGGACGGGGAGCGGGTGAGGATCTGGTGGTTTGGTATTTGGGTGAGGAGGTTTCTGGGTATTTCCCGGCCCAGGCGTCCCGACAGCCTCAAGGGTGAGATAGACTTTGCAACCCTGCCCCCCTCCCCTCAATGGCCCCACCCCTGAGGAGGAGCCGCCCCATCCTCTGGTGCTGTACCCAAGGGCCTCCCCCCCGCCCTGGGGACCAAGGGCAGAGCACAGCCTCCAGCCAGTGGCTCCCCTGGGGCGTGGGGGTTAGAGTGTGGGTGCTCGTCTCAGGCAGCAGGGATCCCCTGGCCCATGAGGCGTGACTCACGCAGTCATCCCAGGGGATCTTTGCTGTCTGGGTTTGCTTGGGGGGAGCAGAGGCTGGCCTCCCTGAGCCGTGGGGCCACCGCGGCCACAGCCCAGCAACAGGAGTGGAAGTTGCCCCAGAAAGGAAGCCGGTCTCTGGCCAAGTCACACGGCAAGGTTGCCATCCGGGGCCCGGGCACCTGCCTCCCCCACGCCCACTGCCGTGTGCCCCGCAGCCAGGGGCCACCCCAGCAAATGCTGCACTCTCTCTGTGTGCGGAGAGTTGGCGGGGCCCGTGTCCGTGGTCCGCGAGAGACAGCCCTCTGGCCTCGTGCTAAGGGGACTGTTGACATGCGTGACGAGACGCAAAACCTCCGCTCCTTCACTCCCTGGGCCGCCCCAGAGCGCCTGCAGTCACAGCAGGCCAAGCCCAGGGCTCGGAACAAGGCCCTGCTTTCAGGGGCCATCTTGGGTAGCCATGGGGGCGGGAGACTGGCCCCCAGGAATGCCACTGCGTGACCGGCTTTGAGCAAAGTTGCGCGCTGGAGAGTCCCCAGCTGGGAAGGGAAGGGACAGAGCCCAGAAGATGGCCCAGACAGCAGGCCTGAGGCCTGAAGGAACTTGCCTTAAGCCCCAGGTGGGTAGGTCGGCGGTCCAGAGCATCAGAGTGGAGGGGGCGCTGCAAGTTTAGGCTGCACAGGGGATCCCTGGCAGCTCACAGAACCTCTGCCAGCAGGGAGTGTGCGTCTGACCCCGTGGGCAGTGAGTGAGGAGCCTCTGAAGGTTTGTAGTCCGGGCCCTGCCTTGACCAGACTCCCAGTGACTGCGACGTGCCAGTGTCCTCGGAGTGAGCTCAGGGGGGCTCGCGTTCCTGGCATGGCAGGTGGTGGGGCCGGCAGGGACAGGAAAGCAGAGGCGCAAGAAGTGGTGCTGAGGGTGCAGGAGCAACTTTTGGCAGCTCCACAGGGTTCCCAGCAGGCAGCAGGATGGTGACTGCTGGTGGAGGGACGGAGGCAGAGTGCTGGGGTGGAATTAGCTGGAAGGAGACTGCCTGAGCTGAGGGACAGGCTCGCCTGGCCTGTCAGGCGGCGGTGAGGACTTTCCTCACAGGTTCCAGCAGGAGAGGCCAGGCCAGCATGCCCTGACTGAGAGCAGACCCAGGGGCTCAGTGTGGAGCTGGGGCCACCTGGAGGGTCTCTGGGGGAAGAGCCAGCGACAGTGGGGGGCAGAGTAAAGATGTGGCCAGGAGTTGCTGAGGGGGCAAGCATGGGCATGACGGGAGGGGTGTGAGGTGCAAGGTTGAGCAGGCTCCCTGGGCGTCTGCTCCCCCAGCCCATCCTCCCTCTGGGCAGCTTCCCAGGAGCAGCCTCTCTACCATGGCATCTCTTGATGGTGCAGGGATGGGGCATCTGCCCTGACATCAAGAGATGCCAGGGTTCAGAGTGGCTGCTCCTGGGAGGAGAGGATGGGCTGGGGGAGCAGGCCCCAGAAGGAGACCACGCGGTCCGCGTTGGTGGTATAGTGGTGAGCATAGCTGCCTTCCCAGAAGGAGACCAGGCCACTGGGGAGATGCAGCACCAGCTGCTGTGATGGGCCGGCAGGCAGGAAGCTGGGGCCAGGTCCGCTGGGGTGGGAGTGATAATCCGGGCTTCGAGCACTGGAGGAAGGCCAGCGGCCATTTCTCCTGTGGACAAGAGCGATGGCCCCGAGCAGCATGGCTGGGCATTCAGAGAATGAGGCTGAGGCCCAGGGGGTCAGAGCAGGATGACCGGCCCCCGTGAGGAGGAAGGGGCGAGGACACCTGAAGCGCCCGCCTGCAGATGCCCGTGCAGCGCGCCCGTGCGCCCACGGAGATGTCCCTCCTCCAACAGGAAACGCCGCCCTCGCGACGACCGGGGAGCCTGGAGGGCAGCGTGGTAAGTAGAGCGAGTCGGGCACAGAGAGACACTGCGCCCTCTCACTTAGATGTGGCCTCTGGAAGAGGCCCAGCCAGGAGAGTCACAGGCAGAGAACCGTGGCTCCAGGGGAGATGTCAAGCGAAGGGCGCCGCTGCGGGAGGAGGTCTGGGGCGGAATGTCAGGCATGCGGAACTGCCGCGAGGGGCTGACATTTGCTGAAGGGTAGATGCTAACTGTTGTCAGCACAAAGGGCCAGGGTAACCCCGAGGCAGGAATCTGCTAACTGACTCTGTTGTGATCATTTCACTGTGTGTGCATCAAATAATCAAGGTGGACCCTTCAAATACATGCACCGCCTATTTGTCAGGTAGGCCTCACTGAAGCTGCCTAACTGACTCATTCATTCATTAAATAGAAATGGAGTCTGGGTCTCCCCTGGCATCTGGACAAACCCTGACTGCTAACAGACTGGAATGTGGCAAATGTGACCAGCCCAGGCCTGAAGAAACTGCAGCTTCTACTTCCTGCTCCTGAAATCCAGCCACCATGTTGTGTGGAAGCTCAAGCAGGGGCCCCCTTCCCAACTGAGGCTTCCAAGAGCAGACAGGGCTGTCCCTGTCAAGCCCTGCTCTTCCTAAATTGCGGATTTATAATCAGATAAACAATTATAGTCACTTCAGGGTATTTTGGGGTGGCTCATTACACAATAACATGACAAGAACCGTCTATCAATAGAGCTTAAAACTGAAAAATGAAATACTGATTTTTTTTTAAGATTTATTTATGCATATAAGAGCTGGGGTACAGGCCAGAGGCGTGGGGGTGAGAGGAAAGACAGAGCGGGGAGCAGAACAGGCTGACTGACCAGAATCCACTGCTGAGGGGAGCAGCGGGCGAGTCAGGAGAGGTCTGCTGCGCCATGTGGGTAGCTCCGTGGCCGGGCATCGAACTGGTGCTCCAGAGGCTGCGGACAGCGTCAGAGAGGCCTTGTGCCACCAGGGAGGCCCTGAAATACTGATTTTAAAACTGGTGAATCGTACTCACAAATGCCAAAATGGGGGGAAATGGTTGCTTCTGAGATGGGGAAAATTCAGAGAGGGAGGAGAGGAGTTAACAAAATAAGAATTATCCGTGTTACTTTGGAGCTCTGATTGGCTTTAGGAGACAATCCGCGGGGGGGGGCAGCATCCCATCAGCCGCCAGGAAGAGGGTGGGACGAGGAAGGGAGGAAGATTTCCCGCCAAGCCCCCTTCCTTTAAGGGAAAGCTGGGGCTCTTGCCAAGGGGATTGCGTCGCCCATGCTAACAAGGAGTTTCCAGATTGTTTGGTTTGAAATTCCACTTTGGACTGTTGACAGTGTCATCCTGGAGGAAAAGGTAAAGTTTATTTACTGTGTAAAAGTTCCCCTTGGGGAGAGGCCGTGCCTGCAGTGGAGCTCAGCGTTAAGCCGGCAAGGCTCCGTGCCAAGGCGCCCCTTTCAGGTCTGTTGCTGCTTTTTTGCCGCAGGGACCTACTGTTTTGTAACCCACCTGCAGGTCGAGCCAACACTTTACACTGCATTCACGGACGTTTCCCTTGGGTGAAAATTAGAGCTAAACCAAGTCTCTTTCCCTAGCAGAAGTGGGTCCGCGATCGGTGTAAAAGGCCCGGTGCGTCCGGCCGCGGGTGTGAAACGGTCTGGTGTTTCGGTCACTGAGACTGAAATCCTGTTGACCAACCGGTGAGCTGAGCGCCCACTCGGGTAAAATGCTGCTGAAGGGCTTCTCCTTCAGGAATGGGCTCGTCACCTCCCGGAGGCTTTAGTATGTGTCTGCCCCCGGGGGAGGGGGGGAGGGGGCCCGGCTGGCCCTGGAACAGCACATGGGGGAGGAAGCACACCCTGCGGGCGAGGCTCCGGGCTGTGGGCCGCTCTGCAGCTGGGCCCAAGAGACGCTCCCGGGTCAGGGAGGTTCCAGGGGTCATTGGGGTTGGGGAAGGGGTGAGGATGCAGATTAAAGATCC